GGGGGGCGACCACTCCATGATCAACCTGTCGGTGCAGCAGGTCCTGAGCCTCTGGGCCCACGGGACGGTGCTGAGGAGCCTCACGGGTAATTGACGCGCCGGCTGGGACGCGAACGCGGTGCCGCCCCTCGGCCCCCTGCTCTCGGGGCCCCGGAGCCCCAGGCCCCAGGTCACGCCGACCAGGTGGCCGTCCGCTCACCTGGCACGGGATCCCGGCGCGCTGGCGTCCCTCGCTCTCCCGGACCTCCGTGCTCCTGGATTGCCGGGGGCAGGTCCACGACCCCCGCCTCTGGCTCTCTCCGGTAGTCATCCGAGTAGCGTTAGTGCTGAGACTGAAGCACAGTTAGCTTTTATTTCACCCCCCACCCCCACCCCCGATGCACAGGATGCCCTTTGCTGCTTGGATAATTTGGCTTAGCGCTTCCTTTGGCAAATCACAAACTGAATGCAAGACTTGTTTCAACCATTTTTTATTGGGGGGGGGGCGGGGTATATAGATGATAAATTAAGTGGGTGAGGGGCTGCTATAGTCTAAGCATTTTAGCTTTAGCTATGTGCCCTCCACCCTATTTCCTTTTGTCTCTCTCCCCCTTTGACCACAAGCTGCTGCTGCTGCTGCTGCTGCGGCATTGGATACTTTTGTATATTTCTCTTTATTCCTTAAACGCTTTGGGGAATTGGACTTTCATAATAATTAACATCAAATTTGGGTTATAAAAGTGAGCAACTATCCACATCTGTATCCCGGCTGTAGGTTTGCTTTGAGAAGAAACGTGGTTTTGTTAAAGTGGGGGTGCCTACATTATACTCTTGAGTTCTGAATTGGAGGAGAAAAAACAAACAAAACTCCCCAAAGAGTAGTGTTTTCAAGAGAAACTGCCTTACCATTTGATAACTTCAGTGCTGCGCCTCAAGAGTTAATTCTTAAAACATATGATAACCCAATTGCCAGAAAGTTGATCCCAGCCTCTAGTGGCTCTGTAGGGCAGAGTAGAACAGCCTCAGAGTTTTCCAGCCTTGTTATGGAAGCCAAACGCCACCTCTTTCTACCACTAAAAATGTACAGGGCAGTTTAGCATGATAGAACATTCGTTTTTAAAAGTACATTCTGTTAAAATGATCCAGGGCGTTTAAGAACTAGAGAGACACTGGCTTGATAGCCTAGAGAGACAGAAGGAAACGGTGCCCAGTCTGGCACCATCTTCACAGTCATTGCTACGTTTGAGTCCATTGTTACAGCCACTGTGTCAATCCAGCTCGTGGAGAATCTTCCTCCTTTTCACCGTCCCTCTATCACTTGTGATGCCCTTCCCCAGGGACTGATCTCTCTTGATAATAAGTCCAAAGGACACGAGACAGAGTCTTGCCATTATGACTTCTCATGAGCATTCTGACTGTACTTCTCTCAAGACAGATGTATTTGTTCTGACAGTGTATCATATAGACAGGATGCGTCACTAACACCAGAAATCAGAGACATCAGCTATGCTGCAATCTTCCAGTTTTGTTGTCTGGCTTTCCCATGTCTGTGAGGCAATTGAAAATACCGTGGCTTGAGTCAGTCGTACCCTTTTAGTCTTTCAAAGTGACAACTTCAGTTTTATTTTTTAACACTGTAAGTATGTCCTGTAAAGGCAGCTTTGCCCGTTGATTTTTTTTTTGGGGGGGTGCTGCTTCCATGGGCATTGATAGTGGATTCAAACAATGAAATTTGTAGCAATTATAATCTTTTCTCTGTTTATCATGATATTACATATTGGTCCAATTGTGACGATTTTTGTTTTCTTTATGTTCAAGTGTTATCTATGCCAAAGGCTGTAATTTTTTAATCTCAAGTGCTTCAAGGCTTCTTTCAGCAAGCAAGGTTGTGTCATCTGCATATGGAAAGTTATTTTTAATGAGCTGTCCTCCGATACTGATGCTCTGTACAACTTCTCAGATTATTTGCTCAGCCTACAGATTGAATAAGTAGAATAAAACCTAACCACACCTTTCCAGATTTGAAACCATGCAGTATTCTCATGTTCTTTGTAAAAAACTGCCTCTTGGTCTCTGTATAGGATCTGTTTTGGAATTCCCATTCTTCTCCATGTTTCCCATGATTCGTTATGATCCACAAAGCTGAATCGTTCAGGTATTCCCTCCTTCAGCCAAATTTGGTTTTTATACATGAGGGTGCTTTTAAAAGTTTGTGGAAAGTGGAATTAAAATGTAATAACTTGTTCCGTGACTTTTAAAAGATGCCTTGTGTTTGTATGTAAACACATATACTTTTAATCTGGCATGGTATGGAAGGAATTCAATTCTTGTAGGTGGGTTTGGAGATGCTCATAGAGAAAAAAAGACAGACTTATTTACAAAAAGGACTTAAGGAAATTGGTTTCCTTGAATGTGGAAACTATACAGTTAATGTAGGCCTTGGCTGACTCCTGGCACCCTCACTTTTAAACTATGCTATTTAACTTGGAGCACACTGATTTTAGATAATGACTACAAGGGAGGAACATGATTATGGTTCTGAAAAAGCTAAATTGGCGTAAATATCATTTCATGGTTCCATGGAATTTAGCGATAGACTGTACATTTTACTTATGGCTTTGCTATTTTCTATTTCAAATAAAGCCAATTGGAGTAAAATGAAAAGTAAGAATTTAATAAGAGTATATATTAGTATAGATGAATGACTTCGTTAGCTCCTTAAAGGCTATTCAGAGAAATTTAGCAATGCGGAACTGTACCGTAAATGTAAGTTACTTTATGGCTAGATTTAAGAAACAACATACTGTGAAGAGTCTAATCATTATATTGCTATCGGGTAAACATGGGTCTGCTAACCTCAAGATCAGCAGTTCAAACCCACCAGCTGCTCCTTGGGAAAAAGAGGAGGCTATCAGCTTTCATAATGAATAATAGCTTCCAAAACCCTATGTAGGGTTGCTATGAGTCGGAATTGACTTCAATAGCCGTGGGGTTTTAAATCATTATGGTGGCTTCCAGTTCCACACATGAACCGATAGTTTGATAGCAGTAGTTTCAGCACAGTGTTAGCCCTAATTGTTTTTTAATATAAATTTAATAACCACTTAGTTGCTCACTGGAGTTTAATGTTTCATAAATGATCTGTTGAATCTCTAAAAATTATTGACAGTGGAGCTAAGGAATTTGGGAATCTCTACTAGGAAAAATAGTGTCTTAGGTAAATAGAATTCATGCTCAGTCAAGGTAAAAATGCAGAAAGAAACATTTGAAAATGCTTCCCTAAGAACGCTGATGGTGCCTGGGGTCTTAAAGGCTTGAAGGTAAACAAGCTGCCATCTAGCTGAGAAGCAACAAAGCCCACATGGAAGAAACACACCAGCCTGTGTGATCATGAGGTATCAATGGGATCAGGTATCATCAGACATC